AACACGGGTATTTTGACTGCCACAAGTTAAGTACGGATGACATTTTTACTTTGGCCCTGCAGACATCACTGGACAGCTCTCCTCTGTGCAGAAGTCTGTAATTGTCCCATAAAGCATGTTGATCTGGTTAAAGAAGTCCACAGCTATCAAAGAAAAAAGAACATTCCATTTAGCAAGCAACTACTAACTAGGGGAAAATACACACACACACACACACACACACACACACACACCCCGTGCAAACTAGACAATATCCTGTGTCTTTTTCAGCAGAACTGACCACCACAGATTCCACAGAAAATGGCCGTCTGAAATACACCCAATGTTTTTAGAAAGCTCAAGAATCGGGATAGAAATCCTCACACGATTGCGAGTACAAGATTTAGATTTGCTTAAAATAAAGTGCCCGTCACAGATTTCTCCAAAATTCCAGTCCTGTCCATAAACTCCCTTCCCCTCACATTGGCCCAGTGGTAATTATATGAGTTGTGTACTGTAAAAGGTTTTTTCAGGGGAAGAGGAGGGAAAAAAAACCCCCACCACAATACAAAGCAGACATTGCAGCTCTATCCCAAAGTGTATTTTTGCTGGCATGGAATTCAGGTTGCGGTTGCATCTCTTCAAGAAGTTAGCAAACCAAGGATAAATTAATGAAGCCGGTTGGAATGAATGTTTTACTTGGACATTAAAGACCCAAAATTTCTGATTGAATTCACATTGGCATAGGCCGAGCAAATCCTTTCTAAAGCTGCCAGAGATCCTTCATGCTTTCAACTACCCCTCTATCACTCAAGCAGAAAGCTATTGATATATTAAATAAAGTGGCTTGCCCTCGTTTTGCTCTTGCAAATTTTCCATTTTTTTTTTCCGGAAGAACCGGTGCTTTCAAAACCGTTGCAAAATGCATCCCTGCATCAATTAATGCGTTAACTGAGTATCTATCTCTATCTATCTCTATCTCTATCTCTCTCTCTCTCTTCTTCTTGTGCCATATCCATTATCGGACGTTGGCGATCATGTTGGCGATCCTGTTTTTATCAGCAGCCGCACGAAAAAGTGCTGCTGAGTTTTGTCCAAACCGGTCCCTTAGATTTTGAAGTCACGATGTTCTTCTTCTGCCTGGACCTCGTTTGCCTTCGATCTTTCCCTGGAGGATTAAATGGAGTAGGCCGTATTTTTCTGGGTGTCGCATCAGATGTCCGAAATATTCTAATTTTCGTTTTTTAATTGTTTTGATGATTTCCCTTGGCTTTCCCAGGCGGCTTATCACCTCCTCATTTCTGATCTATCTATCTATCTATCTATCTATCTATCTATCTATCTATCTATCTATCTATCTATCTATCTATCTATCTATCTATCTATCTATCTATCTATCAATCATCTATCTATCTATCTATCTATCTATCTATCTATCTATCTATCATCTATCATCTAGATCAATTCCCATTTTGAAAGTACAGAAGCTAGGGAAAAATAAGAACGACAGGGATAATATTCTATTCTGCGATAACGAAGTTTGTTCCTTTCGTTTGATGGTCCCTGCAAGTTTGGCTGTTTTTGTAAGCGACAAGCAAGGGAAGCCCCTGGCTTATAATGAAGAAAAAGGCTTATAAATTAAGAAGTGATTAACCCTTATTTTTCCCCCCCAAAAAATAAAAGTGATGACCAATACGTGGTCGAATAGTCTTTGCATTTCCCTTTCGTCAATCCGATGATGATGGAATAGGAAAAGTGGTAAACCTGAACAGACCTGTTCCAGTTCATTGGAACAAAACTCAAAGCGACTTCAAAGGTTTTCGCTCGTGGAAAATACCCATTTGGCTTTGTAGACAGATCCCTTAAAACAGTCAGTTTTGAGGACGGCCTACTCAGTGAAAGCGCGAAGCGCAAGTGAAAGCAAGAACGGTAAAACTGCCTACCGTCTTTTGTGAGACTAGTAAACCATGGTGGAAACAAGTAAATGGAGACCACATGTCCACAAAGAAACATGACTAATCCTTGCTTTAAAAGCATGAGTAGGAAGGGGGGGAAACGAGGGGAATTCACCAACTGGGAAATCCAATTATATTATATGGGCCTTTTTTTTAGTTTTATTTAAATGAATTGACTCGTGTTGATTTCTTTTCTTTCTTTCTTTTGCTGTAGAATCGGTACATTATTAATATTAGTTCTGTTTATTGTATTTCCTTTGGTATATTTCAGCTAAAAATAACTAAATCAGGAACCATGGTAACATTGGTCCAGACAGAACATCTGGCTGGCATTGCTGCCAAAACCAAGGAACAGATTGAATCCAGACCACCGTTTCTTAAGCCAGCTTCATTTCCAGCAGAATTGAGAAAGGAGAAGCTTAATCTTTGCTGCACAAATGTGCCTTATCAAATTGTCCTGCCACAAATTTAAAGCAGAACAACATTTCTGTTGTTGAAGACCACCTGAATAGCCTTCGTTTTAGTTTCCTGTTTACTTTTAACCATTTTCTAAACCAACTTTGGGCTGTAGTGCTTTTATTCCGTTACAGTTTGCTAGGTCACGGATCCCCAACCCCTGGCCCGTGGACCAGTACCGGGCCGCAGCATGCCAGCAACTGGTCCACACAAACAAGCAAAGCCCCATCCGTGGGATGCAGGCAGCACACAAAACCACACACTTTCTGGGACCTTTGCGCTAGGTCAGGGGTAGGCAACCTTGGCTCTTTTATGACTCGTGGACTTCAATTCCCAGAATTCCTGAGCCACCATGGCTCAGCTTTGAAACTCTCCCTTTCCCCTCAGCATGGCTGGCTCAGGAATTCTGGGAGTTGAAGTCCACGAGTCATAAAAGAGCCAAGGTTGCCTACCCCTGTGCTAGGTTGTTCGTCATCCAGATTCATGATGATGAGTGGTTTACAAACATTGTAAAATAAATAAAAAGGGAGGGCTCATTTATACTGGGGGGAGGGAGAATACTTTATTTGGCAGTTTAGTTAGCCAGAGAAGAATCATTTTCTGATTACAGACTTGTGATCCTCGATTTACAACAGCTCCGTTAGTGACCGTTCAAAGTTACAACGGCACTGAAGTGACTTATGATCATTTTTCACACTTACGCCCGTATCAGCATCTGCATGGCCGCGTGATCAAACTTCAGACACTTGGCAACTGACTCATATTTATGACGGTTGCAGTGTCCTGGGGCCATGTGGTCACCTTTTGCAACCTTCTGACACGCAAAGACAGTGGGGAAGCCAGATTCACTTAACAACCGTGTTGCTAAATTACTGCAGTGATTCCCTTAACAACCGTGGCAAGAAAAGATAATAAATGGGGCAAAATTCACTTAGAAATGTCTCTCTTAACAAAAGAAATTTTGGGCTCAGTTGTGTTGCTAATTTAGCAACTGCAGTGATTCACTTAACCACGGTGGCAGGAAAGGTTATAAAATGCGGCAAGACTCTCTTAACAAACGTTTCACTAAGCAACAGAAATGTTGCGCTTTATTGTGGTCGTAAGTCAAGGAGTACCTGTAGAAATTTAATCTGCAGCTGAATGAATTGCGGTGCAAGCATTCTGAGTTACTAATAGTTGAGCTCAACACAGCCACTATTAATGTTCTGAGCTCAAGCTCAAATCTTCCAAGAATGTCAATGTCAGAACCAAAGTCGTTTCAAATCTCAATATTTATAATGTGTCTGCCATAGAAAACAAGCTTGAAATGAGTAGACCATCCTTAAAATTGACTTGTTTTAAGTGATCTGTGCACAAAGCCAAATGGACATATTCCACGACTGAAAAGCTTTAAGTCACTTTGAGTTTCGTCCCAATAAAACACAACCAACTCAATCACTGCGCTGGAAAGAATTGAGTGAGGCAGTTTTGTTCTGACTTTTAAAACAAAATAAATTTTCTGTTTCATGCACAACCTGTTATTCAGAATGACAGAGAAGACTATTAACACGTGGACTGAAAATTTCTTAGTGTGGCAGACATATAGATTAGGTTTCTGTGGGGAAAAAAATCTCCTTTCTATGCAAACATCCCATGACTTGGGGAAATGTCCTTATTGTCACCTCATTATTACTGTGGCCTTACATTAGAGGAAAACAATAATAATGATTTATCAATATTCTCAACTGATTCATTTATAATTCAGGGGTAGGCAATCTTGGCTCTTTTATGACTGGTGGACTTCAGCTCCCAGAATTCCTGAGCCAGCCATGCTGAGGGGAAAGGGAGAGTTTCCAAGCTTAGCCATGCTGGCTCAGGAATTCTGGGAGTTGAAGTCCACCAGTCATAAAAGAGCCAAGGTTGCCCACCCCTGGTTTATATTATACAATATCCTGTATAATAGCCATTTAAGGATCTGCAGCTCCCAAACTGCAAATGGTGGGATGAGCAAGTACATCTGAAAGAATGTTTAAAATGGAAGTGGTTATTCCCAATTTGTATTTTTGTCCTTTAATCAAATTTTTAAGTTCTTTAGATGCCTGGTTGACCAATTCCAGGAGAAATGGATTCCATTAAAGACAAAAAAAAGTGCTTTCCTCATGCATCAGTGCTGAAAACATATACAGAACAAAGGCAGACTCCTTACTGTTCACGGCAACCCATTCATTTAGATCTTCGCCTTCAGGCAGCATAACAGCCATCCGTAAGTTGCCACTCCCAAGAGTTGCCTCCGCATGTTTCAGCAGCTCATATTGGTGGGAGCCTTCCGGAATGTTCTTCTTTGGTTTAAAAGTTTTAGAAGAGCGGCTACCACTGAAAAGGGAAAAGGATATTTTGGCTTCAGAGAATGCTGAGCACTAGAAGCAGAGAAATAATTTGACAAGGATCTTCAGTTCTAGTCCAGGGGCCTTCAAACTCGGCCCTTTTATGACTTGTGGACTTCAACTCCCAGAATTCCTCAGCCAGCGTGCCTGGCTGAGGAATTCTGGGAGTTGAAGTCCACAAGTCATAAAAGGGCCATGTTTGAAGACCCCTGATCTAGTCTCACACGTTCTTGGTTAAAAAACATCCCCCCCCCAAGCATTATAAAGAGCTACATGTGGATAAATAGGATTAATGTCCCCCCCAGGAGGTCAGCATTGTTGCATCCAACCTGGATGGCACCCACAAACCCCCCCCAATTAAATAATAATAATAAAAACCTGATTAAAACAATTATCCGTAAGACTGTCAAATCCCCTCAAGATTTCAATGTTCTGAGATGGCAATATTTTGTTGCCTGGAAACACATGGCCTTAAATTACAAGCACAACTGAGCCCAAAATGTTCGTTGCTAAGCAGGTTGTTAAGTGAGTACGGACCCATTTTGCCACCTTTTTGTCACAGCTGCTAAGCAAACCTCTGCAGTTGTTAAGTGAATGGTGTGGTCACTAAGCGAATCTGGCTTCTCCTATTGACCTTGATTGCTGGAAGCCAAAATTTTGATCACCTGACAGTGGGGATGCTGCAATGAAAACTGGACACTTTTTTTCAGTATTGTAATTTCAAAGGGTCATTATACAAATGATTGTAAGTTGAGGACTACCACAGACCTATGCTTTAAAAAAAAAACCCTGTTGTTGTTGTTAATTGTGAAGTCGTGTCCGACTCATCGCAACCCCATGGACAACGTTCCTCCAGGTCTTCCTGTCCTCCACCAACTTCTGGAGTCCATTTAAGCTCACGCCTACTGCTTCAGTGACTCCATCCAGCCCCCTCATTCTCTGTCGTACCCTTCTTCTATTGCCCTCCATCTTTCCCAGCATCAGGCTCTTCTCCAGTGAGTCCTTCCTTCTCATTAGGTGGCCAAAGTACTTGAGTTTCAACTTCAGGATCTGGCCTTCTAAAGAGCAGTTGGGGTTGATCTCCTCTAGGACTGACCGGTTTGAACGCCTTGCAGTCCAAGGGACTCGCAGGAGTCTTCTCCAGCACCATAGTTCAAAGGCCTCAATTCTTTGTTGCTCAGCCTTTCTTATGGTCCAACTTTCACATCCATAAAAAAAAACCCTACTGTAGATCAAAACAGCATTATTAGAAGAGGAAAGCTTCTTATCACCCTAAAAATGGGTACCTCCTTCTCAAATTATGTTTCCTAAAGCTTGAGCTTTTAGAACAAAAATGAAGCATACACAAGAAGAAGATTGATAAGAATGACTGGAGACAGTTGAGAAGAGAAAGGAACTGGGCACATTGAAACCCTGGAGAGAGTGCAGAGAAGAGGATCAAAGGTGATTAGGGGACTGAAGGCTAAAAATATGTCGAACAGTTGCAGGAATCGGGCATGTCTAGTTTAATGAAAAGAAGGACTAGGGGTGACATGATAGCAGTCTTCCAATATTTGAGGGGCTGCCACAAAGAAGAAGGGGGTCAACCAATTCTCCAAAGCACCTGAAGATAGGACAAGAAGCAACGGATGGAAACTAATCAAGGAGAGAAGCAACCTGGAATTAAGGAGAAATTTCCTAACAGTGAGGACAATTAACTAGTGGAATGGCTTCCCTTCAGAAGTTGTAGATGCTCCATCATTGGAGGTTTTTAAGAAGAGACTGGGCAGCCATTTGTCTGGAATGGTATAGGATCTCCTGCTTGAGCAGGGGGCTGGACTAGAAAACCTCCAAGGTCCCTTCCAACTCTGTTATTGTTATTGTGTTTAATTTTGAGAAAAGGTATTAGACTGGAGAAGCATAGTAGCACTATTTAAAGATATGTTTATTTCATTTCCACACCGTTCTTGCTGCTAGGAAAGTCTAGAGCAGTGTTTCTCAACCTTGACAATTTTAAGGCATGTGGACTTCAACTCCCAGAATTCCACAGCCAGCATTGCTGGCTGTGGAATTCTGGGAGTTGAAGTCCACATGCCTTAAAATTGTCAAGGTTGAGAAACACTGGTCTAGAGTGATTTACAGAACATTTTTTACAATAGGCTTTAAGTATGACACAATAAAATCAATAAGGCTTCAGAACCAATTTAAAAAAGGTAAGGGTTTATTTAAAAGGGAGGAAAAAAGGCACTGTAATAGGCATTCTGAGATATAATCTTATTCTGAACAAGGGCTTACCCCATAAATGCTGGGTTAACAGGCTTGTCCAAATCATTTCTGAAAGAAAACAACTATAGGCAGGTTTAACTTCCTATGATTCTAGATAGGAGATGTATTTTAGGTTATCTGTCCAATGTATGGAGACTATATGTTTCTAGACCTATGCTTTTCTTTTGAAAGCAAGCAAGAAATACAGATTTATTTCAACTGGAGTATCTTATTTTTAGTTTTTAATAGAAGCCAAATCTTCAAGGAAGTTGAAGGGGATTTTGGGGGCCTCTAGATACTCCCATGTAACACCTCTCCTGCGCAAGCTGCACTGGCTGCCTGTGGCCTTCCGGGTGCGCTTCAAGGTGTTAGTAACAACTTTTAAAACGCTCCATGGCAATGGACTTGGGTATTTGCAAGACCGCCTCCTACCAAATATCTCCCTTCGACCAGTCCGCTCCCACAGAGAGGGCCTCCTTAGGGTGCTGTCGGCCAGTCAATGACGGCTGGCGACCCCCAGGGGGAGAGCCTTCTCTGTGGCAGCTCCTGCCCTCTGGAATGACCTACCCCCCGACCTATGTACAACTGCGGACCTGCGCCTCTTCCGCCGAGCCTTGAAAACCCATCTATTCCATGCGGCCGGCCTGGCGTAGTTTTGATTGTGTTTTGATAGGGGTTTTTATATGGGGTATTTTAGAGCAGGCTTTTTATTTAATATTTATTGTGATTTTTATTATTGCCTGTTCACCGCCCTGAGTCCCGTAAGGGAGATAGGGCGGTATATAAATTTAAATAATAAATAATAAATAAAGTGTCAGTTTTATTCTCATTCCCAGTGAAATGACAAATGCAGGGTCCTTCAACATTTTTTGAAGGTCTGAAATGTTTGTTAAAGCAATGCTGTCTACTTCCTCTTTTACCATACGGATAACAGGAACTTGTACCTCCCCACTGCTTACTCCCCCTTCCTAAATTACATATTCAAGGCCATACTTCCACTTTTTGGCTGACACTTTAAAGCAAGTTATGAGGAAAACACATTTTTCTGCACAAAGTTTGTGCATATATTTAGCGGCTTACGGCACATTCCAGACTATTCGGCTTCCGGACATAAAATAGGTAAAAAAAATGCATTCAGAATTTTATTTAAACCCCAGTTATGAAAATTCACATATCTGTGACCGTGTATTTTCCCTATTACTTCATCACTCATATACAAGTAAAGACAAAAAACTTCCTCTGATGAGCAGGCAAGTTCACTTCGTTAACAGCTGTACAAGTGTTAAGAAAAGTACCTCTGATTTAAAAAAAAAATTACCTGCAATCCAACAAAAAGTAAGACATAACTGAACTATATAAGTAATAGTGTGGTCTCCAAAACTAAAAAAAAGCAACATTAAGCTTTTATAGTAAGGCGACTATAAAATATTGTTTACTTGTTTTGAACAAAAAGTAATTTATCATTAAAGAATGAAAATATGTCTGAAATTCTACATTGTTGTACCTTTAAGACTATTGAATTCAGCCTTCATCATTCTAAGCAATATCCAGATATGCTGACCTCAACTCCCAGAATTAATGCTGAGATATCTGGAGACTAAAATCGAAACATCTGGAGAACATCCAAGATAAAGAAAGGGAGTTACTAAACAAGATAAAATACGATCTTACTTAGACAACTTGGGAAAACATTCCATAAACTGGTTCATATTGAATCTGTCAAATCCCTTTTTAAAATTCTGTAAGCTGCTGACTATTACAGCAGAGAATTATGTGAATTGGTAAACATTATAAAAAATATGCTATTTGTCTGCCGGTCACCTTTTAATTCATCCAGTGAGAAAAATAGCTGACCATATACTTTCTCAGTGTCATCCATAAATTTTATAACAACCTCATTACTTATTATGCCATATTTACCCTAAAAATATTAGGCTTCCCTCAAATAATTTATTTTTTAAAAAACTGTCATTTTTATACACTTCTATTACTTTTATAAATAACTCAATATTCCCTGACTGAGCCAAAATTACACCCCTGAAAGGAAAAAAACCCCACACACAAAATCCATTTAGAAAGGATAGGAAATAAAAGAGTGGATTTATCCATAAAGTTGGTAAATGAGATCTCAAGAGTGTACAATACTGTATATCGGTATGTGATTGCAAAGGCTAAAACAACACTGAAGGGATCAAATGCCTCTGAAATAATTGTTGGATGTAATAACAAAACATCGATGCTTCCTTACAAACTTAATGAAAAGGTTTTGTTTTGAAACGGAGGTTTGTCCCACACCCATGG